CCAAATAATAAGACTCAAATAAATCTTAAGTTCACTTGGATCTCACTTGTAGGGTCGATGTGAGTCCTACCATGTGAGGCTCTCCTTTTTGTATTGATGAGAACTCAGACAAAAAGAGTTTTAAGAAATAGAGGGTCGTTCACTTCGCTGATTCGAATTTGTAATTCGAGTTGAGATGTGATTTTATGTGAGAATTTTTTACTGTAGTAAAAAAGTTAGATATGACTGTTTCTGAAAATTTTTTACTGTAGTAAAATTTAAATTCTAAACTCGAATTGATGAAATAAACGGGGCCTAGTAGTTAGCTGAACATTTTTTTTTTTAATTCCTTTTTATTTCATTGAGTCCATCCATTGTGGTTGAAAAACGTGCGTGGTCTGTCAACAAAGTCTTAGTTAGCCCAAGCCCAATCTTCGCCAACTCGACCCATTTCATAAGTAATGAATCATAGACTTTCATGTTGGCAAGCCTGCTCAACTTCAGGGCAAGTTATTATAAGCTCTTTACACATATTGCAAAACTTTTGCTAATCCACATATAGCAAAGTTAAAACATAACAAAAATTTTGAAAAATTATGAGCATAGCAAACTCTGTTATCATTTAAAATAATGATTATATCATTAAATAGTACAACATGTAATATCATTATAATACTTATTATGCCATTTTTACTATTTTCATAATTCAGTGAAGATATGATATTTTGTCATCGTGTAATTATGTCAATTATTATTTGGTTTAAGAAGGGTTCAATTGAATATGAAAAATCTTGATATATACCTTTTAAAAGTGTATAGATATTAATTTTTATCCCTTATTCTTGATTAAATACATTTTTAATCAAATAATTATATTAATAAAGAGATATAATTAAGAGTAAATGATAAAAATTTAAACACATGCACACTTTTAAGGATAAGTTTTCTCATAAAAAATAGGGAGAAAGAGGGAAATATACCAAGACTTGAGATGAATTAAAATTAATAGACTAATAGTTTACATAAGTTAATAAATAGGCCAAATTACTGTTTTTGTTCATAACTTGTCTGGTTATGAACGATAACTTGACAAATTATTGTCCATAATTCACGGGTTTTGTCTATAACTTGTCTGACTATGAATCATAACTTGATAAGTTTATCCATAACTTATCTAGTTATGAACCATAACTTGATAAGTTATGACTTATTAATTTCTATAATTAAAAATTAGCCTATATACTTTCTTAAATTTTTTATATTGGCGTATTTTTTATTATTTTTGAAAAAAAATATTATAGAATCGACACTCAATAATCCAGCCCATTAAATGAACAGAAATGGCCTTAAAGAAAGCAAGCCCAAGCTCATATAGAAGGAGCAATGAGAATTAGAAAAAAGAAAAATCTTGGCAAATACACATTTTAATTTTTTTATTAATATCTTTTTTAATTAAATAATTATATTAATAAAAGAATATTAATAAAAAATAAATGATAAAAATTCAGATCTATATACTTAAAAGGCAATTTCAATAATTTTCTCAAAAAAACGAAAGAAACAGAAGAATTAACAAATAAAAAAATAAAAGCTAAACAGAAGGAAAGAGAACTGACACATGGAGAAGAAGCGGAGAGACCATGTGAAGGGAAAAGAAGCAGCTAAACTAAACCAACTACAAAGGCTTGGGATTATCGTGATTTTAAAAGGAGGTTTTTTTTTTTTTTTTTTTTTTTTTAAATCGATAATCTGCCATATGAACCTTTGATTTTAATAAATTATCTCATGAATTTAACAAAGTGTTATGCACCTCCAAATTAATAATGCTTGTCTACATATAAACGGAAGCGTTCTCGTAATGTGCTATTTAGTTATTTGATATTCTAATATATGCTCTCCGAACGGATTACATAACGATATAAGAGTATTTCGGTCCAAAAGGCTCCGTTCTTTTCGCTGATTTGAGTTTAGAATTCGAGTTTTACTATAGTAAAAAGCTCTCAGAAACAGTTACATATAACCTTTTTACTACAGTAAAAAGCTCTCACACAACATTACATCTCAACTCGAATTAAAAACTTGAATTAGTGAACCGAACGGGCCCTTAAATAAATTTTATCGATTTATGATCATTTTACAACACTTCCTTAGATTCAATGATAGTTTTGTTAAAATTAAAAGTTAAAATAATTACTTGTCAAATGAAAAAAGTTTGGAAATAAAACACCACAAATCCTTTCAAGAAAGTATACTTTAGTAAAAAGGATAACCATAAGTCAAGAGTTAAAAACTCTAACGCAATCCAATTTCTAAAAATAATTGTAAGAGTGTATGTTTTTTGTATTTTTATTTTGCACACGCATTAATTCTCAAAATAATTGTAGAAAACTATGACTTTAAATTAACTCGATCTCTTAAATTTTTTAATTAAAACGAATTAATAATTTAAATGATTTTTAAGTAAATTAGACTAAGTAAAATGAAAAATATAGGATTAATGATCTCGATTTGGCTTTTTTTTCTTCTAATTTTCTAAACAAATGGTTCGAGAATCAACTTAAGGCAAATTGCCACTCTTAAGTCACCGTACTCTTCACCACCTTGCTAGAAACTTTGAACTACTAGTCGCGTTTAGAATTGATCATATTTTTATTTTTCACGTTTTTTTTCAAAAAAAAAAAATGTTTTCAAAACGGTATTTACGCAATAAAGATAAAAAACATAAATGAAAACGTTTTTTTAATTTAGCGTAAAATGAGATATAAATGAAAAACGACTTTTAGTCATTTTTTATTTTTTATTTTAATTTTCTCCTCTCTCGAGCAGAAAGAGAGAGACATTAATGAATTTTTTTATACTGAAAATAATCTCTTAATAAAATTACTAAACGTATTTTTAAAAATAATTTTTATTTTTATTTTCATATAAAAAATAAAATAATTTTAAAATGAGTTCTAAACGCGCAGTAATTTCTAGTAAGTGACAGAGAATTTGGTCACCCTCTCGAACGTCGCGCTTATAAAAAGAGTCGCTTTCTGCCCTTTTAGTTTTTTTTTTTTTTTTTTTTTTTTTTTTTTTCCTTTTTTCCCTTTTTTTTTTTTTTTTTTTTTTTTTTTTTTTTTTTTCGCTTGAAATTACTTCATGTAATATTGCTTTCAGATGGGTAGCTTTTCTATCTCACCAAAAGAAACCCATTCCCATCTTTGTCAAAAAGATACTCTGCCAAAAAAAAAAAACTTCCAACCGGCATCCATTTTAGCCATCGTAACCTACATGATTATAGGCCTTTCCATCACTTTTATAGGGGATAATTTTCTTATTATATCGATTGAACATTGACGTAATTTTTTTATATTAAATCATAATAAGAAATTAAAAGTCATTTTTAAATATATGATAATAAACGACTGTAATGCACTGCTCTTAATAAATATTCGTGAATGATCAGATGTACTTAAAAAATAAACATGACAGATGTAGTCATTGACGACAATATTATTTATATTTAAAAAAAAGTTTGTTATGATAAACCGATTGATACTAACAGTAAAAACAATGAATGTGTATATTATTATTTATATTAAAAATGACAGTCATTTATTGATGTACATTTCAATATTATTCACATAATTATTCAAGATAAGTGTGCATGACAGTCGTTTATTAACATGTGTTTAAAAACGACTTCTGATAACCAAAATAATAATTATTATGATTCAATACAAGAGAATTATGCTAAACTTTTAATAGGTTACGATAGCCCCATTATTTTTAAACAGGGAGACTGATGATAAGTTCATGATTATATCATTATAAGCCGACAAACTCATTAATTTCAACGGAAAAATAGTGATAAATATTCCTTAAATTGTATGAATCTAAATTTGTTACCTTACTCTTAATTAATATATTTTTTAATCAAATAATTTTATTAGTTAAAAAATATTAATAAAAAATAAAAGTAAACATCCAAACACACTCTAACGGTAAGTTTAAACAATTTTGAAACAATTTTGTAACAAGTTGTGTTGGCATCCGTTTCGAACCTCACATCATGTATAAATTGCGTAACAAACAAGTTGCTGGAATACCAACAAAGAACAAACAAGTTGCTGGAATTCTCGTCCAGTTTCATGATTCATCATTAACATTTAATAATGCTTTTGTCCAAGGTTCTAAAACGTCGCCGTTCCGTAACCACCAACCAACACACTCGCGACTCACACGGCCACACTCATGCCACAATTGAATTAAAAGAAAACAAATACTGAAAAAAGGAAAATAAATAAATTTATATAAACAAATGAATGATGATACAATGATGTGGAGCTTTCTACACTCTTCTATTAGTTTCTAGCCTTCACAACATAAATAAATAAATAAATAAAAATTCCAGATTCTATAAGGTCGTCTAGTGAAGTACATTGTGTTGTGTATGCCTTTTTTTTGTTTCCCAAACTATTGACTTTGCCAAGCCAGGAATGAGTTTATTTGTAATTAAAACTTTAAAAATAACAAATGACTGTTTGGTATAAAGATTTTGAATTTAAAATCATGATTTTAAATCAATATTTATTTATAAAAAATAAAAAATAGTTATAATTTGACTCACCTAAAATTAATATTTAATTTAAATAGTTTTAATTTAAAATTAAGTTTAAAATCACTCACTTACTTAATTTTGAGTAGTTTAAACTCATGATTCTAATTTAAATTTTAAAATCATGAATAATAATTCTGATTTTAAAATTAAAACTAAAATCACTTTAATTCCTGAAATCTAAAACAAACCCATTTGAAATAATCTCCCAATTTCATTAATCATGAGGAAAATATATAAAGCATATACATATTTATATACATATAAGACTTCAAATTTTTTTTTTTTCTCATTTGCTAAAATCAGTACTACTCTATCTCCATACAACAAAATTTTGCAATTCAATTTATCACTCTTCAGCTCAATCTACAAAAAAAAAATAATAATAATAATAATTGCAAATTAATATCGAACAGAAAAATCACAAAAGAAATTAAAGTCTCCATTTTTATTAGATATGATACAAACTAAAGACAAATCCCGCAACAGAGGAAAGAAGAAAAGAACAACCTAAAATTACAAAACATTCAAAAAACCTCACTAGAAAAAAAAAAAAATATATATATATATATATACACACACATTTCTTTAAGGTTTCTCAAGCAGGGGCTCGAATCAAAGGAGGAGGAGGAGGAGTGTACGAAACGAAGGGAAGGCTTCGGAGGATTAGAAAACGAACCCGACCCAGAAACGGCGCCGTATTGAACAAATGCTCCAAAACCCTAGCCACCAACGCCGTGTACTCCTCCATCAGCTCCGCCATACTTGCCACCAGTATCATCTCCTCTCTCTAAAGCCTCTCTCTCTTTCTCTCTCTATAGAAGGATCAGAAATGGAATTATTTCGAGTTTCAACTGAGAAACTAGCCAAAGAAGTACGTATATATAGGAAAATGTGTGATTGGAAAAAAAAAAAAAAAAAAAAAAAGCTGTGGGCCTTTTGGTTTCTGGTTTGTGTTTTTGGTTTCTGGTTTATTCTTCTAGGGATGATGATGATGATATAATGATGGTTTGAGGAGAAATACTATTATTGTATGATGATGATGATATAATTGATCAGCTTCCACGTGGACATCTCCACAAGTGACTAGTCGAGGATTTATGCCTGTTCTTTTACATCACTTCAGTTTAGATTTGTGCTGTGTATGTAAAAAAAAATACTATAATAAAAAAAATTAAATTTAAATTTTTATTAGAGAAAATATTATAAGACGTGAGGCATTCATGATTCATGAACATACTTTATCTCAAATTTTTTTCTTTTCTTTTTTTTAGGATTTTTTTTTTAATTCCGTTTTGGTTTTGTTTTTGTTTGAAAATGAAAGTAAAGAAAATGAAAGGGAGAGAGAAAAGGTGTAAGTGGAAAGATTTATCAGTCATTGGCTTGGTTGCTCTCCATCCTTATCTCTTCTACTTTGTCTCTGTCTTCCAATTATGTTTTTTTCTTTATTGATTTTAATTAGTTAATTCAAGTTTTTTCCGAGTCAAATTATTGAAGAATTTAGTGGATTTGGCATTTGGCCTAAGGATGAAAATATTCTTGATATTCTAACATTTCGTCTATTCTTGGAAATAAGAATAATTCTTCTTGAAACTGTTTTAATATTTTTCATATTTTAAGAATATCCATTGAAATATATCTAAATCTAAAGTTTATTATTATTTTTTTTATGAATATCGATATTTTTATTTTGTTTTGCATGAGTCTAAAGAGGTTGAAGTATCTATCTTTGTTAAGCATAAGTCTGATAAGGATGAAGTATTCAGGAGAAATTATGATAAAAGGAGAATAAGTTGGATCTCGTCATTCTTTACAATAACATTTGAAGTAAATTATCTATTTAATTACGTTTTGCTGAATATTTAATTTTGTTAACCATTAAACTTTTAACATGTCATGATTAGAAGTATAAGCTAATGGTAATTTCACACTTGACTTAATTTGAATCTTCCATTTTTTTTTTTCTGAAAAAAAAAAGTTTGATATGTGGCTTTAACAAATACATTTTTAAGTAGAATAATTTGGAAGGAAGACAAAATCAAATTGGATAGAGTATTTGAAATTAGTAAAAATCTTTTAATGCAGTAGTTTGACTTTATGGTCATCGTTATTGTTATAATATTTGGATAAGAAGTGAGTGTAACAAGTGTTAGGCCTACCCGTGTCGGCTGCCGGATTGACTTATGCAAACTTTGCCCCATGAGATTTAGAGTCGTCCCCATTTTGCCTTTCACAGCTCTCACTTATTACCCTAAACTTTGAATCTTTTTCACTTTATTCTCTCTACTTGATTAAGATTGGTACTAGCTCACTCACCTCCGTAGTAATATTTCGATCACTCAATATACTTTTTCTTCTTCTCTTTAATATTTTCAACATGATTTGATGTCCTTTTTATCATTTTTGTTTACTATTTGAATTATTTTCATTAATTTGATTCGTAGTAAGACATAGCAGTACTTGGATTTTATGAAAATGTCGATATCGGTAAAAGTTAATCTAAAATATACAAATTCATCCTAAAACACTTTATCAACTTTTTGCTAATATCTCCAAAACATTACTGCAAAATATTTTGTAAAATGGTGGAAATTTAAAATTTGAAGTAGTATAGAAGGAACAATGAAAAAGTTCATTGGAAAAAGAAAGACGATCTCAAAATTTAAAGAATAAAGTGGGGGCGACTCTAAAATTCAGGAGATAATGTAGGGTTGACTCAAAAGTTCATGAACTATAGGTGCAAATCACTAAAAATTTAATTACAATTTTACCCTCAAATACTATGCACGAGAGACGTTTTCCGTCTCTTTTAAACGGAAATTGAAAAAAAAAAAGAGTAAAGTGAGACGTTTTCCGTCTCTTTTAAACGGAAATTGAAAAAAAAAAAGAGTAAAGTGAGACGTTTTCCGTCTCTTTTAAACGGAAATTGAAAAAAAAAAAGAGTAAAGTGAGACGTTTTCCGTCTCTTTTAAACGAAAATTAGAACTTTTAAACAGAAATTGGAAAAAAAAGAATAAAATGAAAGTTCATGAAAGTTTAAAATAGTAAAATAAATATTTTTAAAATTTATGGGCAAAATGAAGTGATCTTAAAGTTCAAGAGACATAGATAATAATAATTCAATTTTTTTAGTACAGTATACCAATCTTTTAGGTACAAAATTTTTCTGTTTAAATTTTTTTCTTACCAAACAAACCAATTTAAATTCCAGATCTTTTTTGTAAAATAGTGAATTATATCTTTATTTCTTTATATATTACTAATTGTCTACGGCTTTTTACTGTTCATCGTGGTTAACCGTTTCTTGCCTTTTTTTGCTCCTTAGCTTTTTCGGTTTTTACTACCCACTGATTGACTTTGGTCAATTTCCACCCCCCTTTTTACCCTTCCATTTTGTCAAATTAAAGACTGGCTTGAACGTGAAACTGAAAACTGAAATTGAAGACGGTTTATTTTATGTAGTTATGTGAGACTCATCATTGTTTTAAGATGATGAATTGATGCAGTTCAATGAAAAAAATTTAAGAAAAAAATGAAAAGCGGGAAAAAAAAAACAGCAACTCCATGCAAAAAAAAAAAAACAAAAAAAAAAAAAACACAACAACAACCTCTGCGTTTGTTAATGGAAAAGGTCGGTTAGTGCGCTGTTGTCGGGGTCTCGCCGCCATCTCCGTAGACATTTTAGCCTCCTACCTCGACGGCGGCAAAAACCCAGTTGACTACGAAATCTGAGAATGTTTGGATCTCTCTGTAACCTCTTTCATTTGAATTCTTCGATAATCGTGCTCTTGTTTTGTACACGGACTGTTGAATCTGAACAACTCACGTAAAACATCAGCAACTTCTCAAATTGGATATGATTTTTTTTCCCCTTTTGTATGCAGAGGAAACCCAAGACTTGATCCAATATAAAAAGTTCTCCCAAATCTCCTTCAATTGAATCAAAACCATTTTTGAAGTTAAAATTTCAGAAAAATCTTTTTGCTGCAAGTTCATTTGAAAAATTGAGGTCCTTTTCGTACACCAACACGTTAATAAGTTAAATTTTCTGTTCGTATGCAAATTTAACGAGTAAAAAATTTAATAGTTAAAAAATTTAATTTACAGGACATATTAGAAAATCTTTCAAAAAGCTATAGAATATATTAGAAAATCTTTCAAAAAGCTAATTTAAAACCTAATAGACGTTGTTGTGTCATCATTATGCCAAATCAATCGACGCGACGGTTATACACCCAAAGCACCCAGGCCATCATTGCGAACGGAGATTCGGGACCGATTTCCCACACCCGAAGCACGGAAAGGACAAACCGAACCTAGAGCTCGAGGCCGCCTAAAAAAGGAGCCCTCGACCTGGGGGGTGGCTGTTGTGTGGGAATATGTGATGGACACCTGGACCAACGGTGCCACGACGCGTGGCTATACTTACTTTTCGCCGAGCACCCAACCCTCGACGCTTCGTTTTCCTCAAGATCAGCTATAGAACCCGAAGATGAAGTCCATAATTAGGGCGACGACCCTATGAGGCGTCGACGGTTGATTTCGCCTGAGTCGACACAACAAGATCCCTCGACTGCAGAAGAGATCATTGGAAGGGGCGAGAAAGGTTAAACAACCACTGACGACGAGGGGAACGTCCCTTTTCGACATGATAGGTTACATGCAAAGATAAGGGAAGTCTGACAGCATTAATTGTAATTTTACAAACCGCCCCCCCCAGGGGACAGAAAAGCATTACGGAGAGTTACAGAGCTGTAATAGAATACTAATTGGTTGAGTGAACAGTACTAATTAGTGGGCTATGTCTGGGCCTAGAGGGGGAGAGCACTTGAGTGTTCCTACCATACAGAGCTGTAATAGAATACTAATTGGTTGAGTGAACAGTACTAATTAGTGGGCTATGTCTGGGCCTAGAGGGGGAGAGCACTTGAGTGTTCCTACCTACGAAGGAAACCCACCCAGTGAAGGAAGCCCGAGTATAAAAGAAGAAGGACCCCAATAGGAAAGGGGTCCGAAAAAACTTCAAAAGGAGAAAGAAAGAAAGAGAGAGAAAGATAGATGAATATTGTAAACTCAGATTTCCACAAAAAGAAATACAGTATATACAGTGGATGTAGCTCTAATTTCATAGAGTGAACCACTATAAAATTCTTCTTGTTCATTTACATACAGTTCATTCAAACACAAAAATACTTAAATTTAACCTGAATCCACACTTTCATTAAACCCACGAGCCGGTAATCCAAAGGGGAACCCCAAGATATTCCGGCGGGTTTATTGTTGACGAAATCCAACCGTCAACAACTATTAAAAGTACTTTATACTCTCTGAATTAACTTAGAAAATATTGTTTTTTTTTTTTTCAAATAAACTTGGAAAGTATTGTTGATAGAACTATATCTACCAATGTTCATGTCATTGAATCGGTTTTTTCCATTCTCTAAGACACTATGGTATACAACTTAATTTGTCAACGTAATTTTTACTTCATTTGGATATCAAGAGGGAACGATGGTAATATATAGATGATAGATTCTACACTTATTTTTTTTAATGGCATTTACATAACTCCCCATTAAGCACACATTTAAAACCAATAAGGAAAGAATTAGACTAATCATAGCTAACAATTGCAAGCTTGAGCCTAAAAGACTATAAACATACGTTTGCTTCATTATTTATCACTTCTTCATTCTTAGTACATATACTTTTTCCCCTTGGCCCCTTGAGTCATAATACTACACATTATAAGTGTTTTTTTTTTTTTTTTCTCCCGGCTCAAATTGTGCATGTATCTCTGGGTTTTCATGTGTATCCAACCTATAAATAGTAGAGCGCCAAAAGTTAGCTTGTTCTAATGATTTGAATAATTATGAGCTAGATAAAGAGATAAGATTATGGGAATATATATATCTTATAATAATGATATTGAGGGAAAAGAGGTATGCCTTATGGGAAACTGATAAATAGAAAAAAAAAAATACACATTTTAAGTTATAATACAAAGAAGTTTTTATTTATTTATTTATTTATTTGAAGAAAATAAGTTTTTATAGATAACTATATAACATTATGACAAAGATTACTTGAGACCAAACTTGGAATAAAGCATAAACGTAAAAGAATCAACTCT